ATTATATTTATATATATATAAAATTTTTCATTTTCTTTTCCATCTTATTCAACGATTATTCATTTTTTATATATGGAGGATAGGAAAGGGTAATCACAAATATTATTTGAAATTGAATAATAATGATTCATATTGTTTATCCTGTAATAATAATTAAAAAAGATTTTGTTGATTAATTTAAGGAAACATTTGGAGAATAAGGTGAAGGAGAAGAGACGTTGAACAGACAGAACCGAATACACATACTCCAAAGCCAAAAGACTTTTGGCTTGAGGCTTGTGATGTGTTTGAAGTACCGTCGCCGGAAGCTTACAAACACCGACGCCGTGTTGTGACATCTTATTATGCCAAGCGAAACTTACGGTCTCGCTAGATCGTTAATTTGCGATCCGGTTTTACGACGCCTAGTTTGCAAGCTTTCGAGAGGAACAGAAGAGGGTTTTCCACTTCTCTAACTGCGGGATTGATACCCCCCAGTAAATAGATAAATGATATTCCTTTCATTTTTTCAAAGCATTCAATAATAATAATAATAGCCCAATTCGTTTAACGATAAACCAAACCTTTTGTCATTTTATTTTTCTCTTTTATTTTTAGTAAAAATAAAAACTTGATAAATTCTCTCTTATTTTTCTTTTTCTTTTTCTTTTTTAAACGAAATTAAATCGAGCAGTGAAAATAATTGTATTTGGGTAATTTAATAAGACAATATATAGTGTTTACAGTGGAGTTTCTCTTGAAATATGAAAACAAAAAAAGTAGATCGATTTGGATCAACGACGAACTGGTGGTTTTCTTATCAATTTCTAAGATAAAACTTTACTCGTTATTCTCTAAGCTCACAACTATCATCTTCGTTTTATTCATTTTTATTCTCTAATTACATTATGTTTGAGAGAGAGAAAAAGAGAGAGAGAGAATGAGAAAAATAAAAAGAAGATCAATTGAAAAGTATCCAAAATTTTGTGTACTATGTCAGTGCATTTAAAATTTTTATTTGAAACGTCAACATCGGAACGTAACATTGACCTTTTCCTCTCTCTCTCTCTATCTCTCTCTCGTTTCGAATGTCACCATCATAAGGGAAATTATTTCCCGTATTATTTCGGTTTATTTGTTTAGACAAAATAACGATATATACACACACCATAGTCGATTGTAACTAAATTGTGTGTGGCAAATCGATTTGATATATATATATGTATATATATATTTGGTCAATGATGATTTTCTTCTTCGCGCCTGATGATTGATAAACAAACGTATTATTCGTAATTATAAATTTCGCTGTATATAATTGTAATAATAATTAACGATTACTCTGCTAGCGTAATCGAGAAAAGAATTAACGTCGTTTAGAAATACGTATCAAAATATTACGAAACATCACAACCGTGAAGGGGAGAGTGTATTCCAATGTTTCATTTTTTTACAAAAATTAAATATATAAAATAGAAATTAATTTAAATATATATTAATTTTATTTAATTTTATATCCAACGAGAGAATTATTTGTCAAATAATTTATAGTCATTTTCTGAACTATCTTCTCAACTTATTTCAAATCTCGTTCTATCATGTGACGACGAGAACTTAACAAGTCATTCGATTCTTATCGATTACTAGTACAGTAAACGAAAACCTATGAGTATCGATCGAGAACAAGAACCAGCGATAACCCACATTACCCGTCCGATTCATTTCAAGACGAAATAAGAGAAAGATTTATCTGTTTAATTATACTAATAGATGCGTTTGACGAATACGAAAGACAAGAAACTATCATATAGGAACGGAGAAACCGAACAAATAAGAAATTCATTCCGCAATACAAGAAGATCGAAGATAGCGATACTGTCCCATCGAAAAGACGTAAATGGATTATGATTGCGAAATTTTCAAAAGTCATGACCTTGACTTTTCTTCACGAGCTTATTCCACCACACGAGCATGATAAGAATACGAAAATGAAATTATTCGACAGATTGGATCGTCGCAATTCGAATGCAAAACTTCAATAAAAAACTGATGAAAGATATTTAATATCTACATATAAATGTGTACATGTAAATATATACGTGTAAGATGAATGAATAATTATCTTCGATAAATTATTCTCCTCTAAACTACATAAACATATAATATATTATATCTGTTACTGTCAAAGCCGAAAATCAGACATTACTAGTAAACCCTCGGCATTACTATGAATGTGAAGAGCCTTCAGACGAAGTTGGAAAATAAGACTTTTTGGAGAGTTTTTCTTAGGCATCGAACATAATACTTTGATATTTTATAGAATATCAAATTACTATTTAAACAACGTTGAAAAGAATACATTCTCAGATTCAGACACACGCAGCCATAAGATCACACAATATCAGAGAATGCAATGCTGTAAATTGTACAACTTTGCCATTTCTTTGAAAAGTTTCGGTAAATATTTTTTTTACTAAAAGTGAATAAATTTTAATGAAACTTATATTAAATTAAAGTACACTCTTTTATCTACACGTAGAATACAAATTTGAGTTATAAATCAATTTGCGAAGGTTCAAAAAATGGCAAAGAAAAGTTGGCGGATTAGGCATTGTTCACATTGCCTAAGGCCAGGCATTGTTAGCATTGCCGGGGGAGGTTTGGAACCTAGGCCGGTAATGTTAACAATGCCTGGTTTTAGGCATTATTCACATTGCCTAATCCGCCAACTTTTCTTTGCCATTTTTTGAACCTTTGAAAATTGATTTATAACTCGATATGGTACTCTACTTGTAGATAAAAGTGTGCACTTTAATTTAATATAAAAATCATTAAGATTCACTTGCTTTAAGTATAAAAAATATTAGCAGAAACTTTTCAAAGAAATGGCAAAGTAGGAAAAATTTGCAGCTTCGCATTCTTTGCCATTTTATGAACCCTTGCAAATTGATTTATAACTCGAAGAGATACTCTACGCGTAGCCAAAAGTGTGCACTTTAATTTAATATAAAAATCAATAAAATTCGTTTGCTCTAAGTATAAAAAATATTTGCCGAAACTTTTCAAAGAAATTGCGAAGATGCACTATTTACAGTATTGCATTCTCTGACATTTCCTGAACTTTACATGCTAAATTTATAACTCGATATGGTATTCTACGCGTAGACAAAAGAGTGTACTTTAATTTAATATAAGTTTCAGTAAAATCAATTCACTTTTAGTATAAAAAATATTTGCCAAAACTTTCTAAAGAAATGGCAAAGTAGGAAAAGTTTACAGCATTGCATTCTCTGACATTTTCTGAACCTTTGCAAATTGTTTTATAACGCGGAAAGATACTCCACGCGTAGACAAAAGAGCGTACTTTAATTTAATATAAAAATCATTAAAATCCATTTGCTAAAAGTATAAAAAATATTTAGCGAAACTTTTCAAAGAAATAGCAGAGTTGTACAATTTACAGTCATTGCAATCACTTATAATTCTTTGAAAGTTTGTGTAAATATTTTTTATACTAAGAGTGAATAGATTTTATAGGAAACTTATTACTTATACCGGCTTTGACGGTAACATATCTAATAAATTTCTTTAAATGCGTATATATATAAGTACCCTAATTATTATAATCTGTAATATATTAATCGATTTCATTGAGATAAAAATGATAAACTCACTCCGGTGACAGGAATGACGTGGGAAACCATTCTGGTCCTGTCCTGTGAGGAATAGTTCATAAAGATGTTCGCCGCCGTGGCTGCATTTACACGATGCTGCTCGACGAAATCCTCCCAATAAACGGAAAGACCCTCCACAGTTGCAGTTAAATCGTACCGCTCTTTTCCTTCCCTTAACTCTCTCTTTTTCTTTTTCGATTAATTATTTTTAATAAAAAATTCAAACATCGATAGAGGGGACACCTATTTTCCTTGTATTTTTTCTTTTTCTCTTTATCTACTCTTTTTTTTTTCAATCGCAATCTCAACAACTAATATTCAAGCTGATTAAAATTTTTTTCAACGTACGAAAGTTTAATCGACTAGAGAAAAATATATATATAACAAAAGAAAAGAGCCCCATGCGAGTAATCGATGTTACAGAAAATTCAAATTTTCCCGGGCCGCGAATCTCTCCGTTGATTAATCGTCAACGCGATTGTCACTTGTATTTATTTTTTCTTTTTCAAATTCCTTCTTCGGGAATTGCTACAAAGAAGTCACGATCACATTGGTCGTTGACCTGTAAAAAAGAAACATAAGAATTCTCTTTTAAGATTATTTTACATGATCCACGCATTTGTATCTCGTAATAATACTATTGTATTATAAATTTGTACGCTATATTACTCACAAAAGAATGAAAAAGAATATGAATATTTTTTAATAAATTATTAATATATATTATATATATTATATATAATAATATCTAAGTACGTTAATGTAAGTAAAAAATAATAAAAATAATTTACTATAAATTATTAATATATATTATATAAAATATATATAATAATATCTAAGTACGTTAATGTAAGTAAATACAAGGCAACATATTTAAATGCATATCATTTGTATATGCATTCGTATGTGCATTCGTAGATGCACATTCGTATGTGCATATCGTATATGCATTCGTATGTGCATTCAAATGTGCATATAGAATTTTGACGGGAGAATCTTTTCGATGTTAGTTGTGATTATGAGATGAGGGGGTGTAAGAGGTGAAGGAGGAGGAGGTGGTTGTGGGTGGGTGGGTGTTAGATTGAAGTGTAAGAGAGAACGAGAGTAGAAACGATGAAAGAGAAAGAGAAAAAGAGAAATATAGGCGTTCGTTGAACGCATACACGTACGTTAACAGCGCATGCCCGCACGAAGTTGTCGACCGAGCCATTTGTGCCCGGACAATCGATCGTTTCCGACGTTTCTCCAACGCGTTAAACTCGTTTCCGGTCCGATTTGCTCTCCTCCGCAACGTGTGTCGGCGTTGGCCAAGCATACACATACATATACACATATAAATATATATATATACATATACAATACATTGATTTGTTGGATACTTTTCGTTTCGTATCTCGGAAAC